TTCCATTGTCCAACCCATGATCTGACAGGTTCTATTTGAAGCTTTCTTGGCTTCTGTGATTCCAAACACGTCAACTGCTGACATTTTTTTTTCTTTTGACCAGTGTCACTTAAGTTTAGTTGTACTGTCTCCAAGGGAAGGTGACGTGTCCTGTAGAACTCCTGTGTAGATTATGTTTTCCTTTGTGGCCTGAGGGCCCGTCAGCTTTTCCTGTGTACCTGCAATATGCCTCTTCACTATTATCTGAGGTGACTTCCGCTGGTGTGCAGCTTCCAGGCTTCCCCTCTGCCCAGGGGCACGTTCTCCGTGTCCCCAGCAACTCCTCCCAACGGCTTTTCCTGTGTACCTGCAATATGCCTCTTTATTATCTGAAGTGACTTCCGCTGGTGCCAGCTTCCAGGCTTCCCCTCTGCCCAGGGGCACGTTCTCCGTGTCCCTAGCACCTCCTCCCGACGGCTTTTCCTGTGTACCTGCAATATGCCTCTTTATTATCTGAGGTGACTTCCGCTGGTACCAGCTTGCAGGCTTCCCCTCTGCCCAGGGGCACATTCTCTGTGTCCCCAGTGCCTCCTCCCGACGGCTTTTTCTGTGTACCTGCAATATGCCTCTTCGCTATTATCTGAGGTGACTTCCTTTTTATTGTAGGTACACAGGAAAAGGGAATACTACACGGTTTAAAATTAAGAAGAGAGTGTGTCAGAGTTGTATTCTCTCTCCATACCTACTCAGTCTGTATGCTGAGCAAATTATTCGAGAAGCTGGACTTTATGAAGAGGAATGTGGCATCAGGATTGAACTTATCAATAACCTGTTATGCAGATGACCCAACCTTGCTTGCTGAAAGTGAGGAGAGAACTTGAAGGACGTGTTGCAGAATACCAAGGAACATAGCCTTCAACATGGATTGCTTCTCAATGTCAAGAAAACAAAGACTCTTAACACCACGATGGATGGATAAGAGATTGAAATAGTCAACAACTTCATGTTACTTGGATCCATAATTAACACCCTTGGTTAACTAGCAGGAAATACAGAGACACACCAGACAGGAAAAGTCTGTAGTTAGGGACCACTCCAAATTATTGAGGAGTTATGATGTCAGTTTAAGGACTAAGGTGTGTCTTATTCAGGCCATGGTCTTTCCAATCACTTGATATGCATCTGAGAGCTGGAGAATGAATAGGAATGACAAAGAATTGATGCCTTTGAGCTGTGGTGTTGGAGAAAAGCACTGAACATCCCCATGGATGGCCAAGAGAACAAACAAATATGCCTTGGAGAGGGTGCAGCCAAAGTACTCTTTGAAGGCAAGGATGATGAGGCTTTGCCTCACATACTTCAGGCATTTTGCTATGGAGGAGGTTCAGCAAAGGAGAAGAAGACCCTTGACCAGATGGATTGACACAGTGACTGCCCCAATGGGATCTAGTGTGTCAGTAAGTGTGAAAACAGCACAGAATAGGACAAAGTTCAGATCTATTGGTTATAGGGTCACTATAAGTCATACTAGACTCGATGGCACCTAACAACAACTACTACTAACAAGGTAAACTGCATTTCGTACTTCATTGCTCATAGTTATGTGATAAGAATAAATGTACAGATCACTACAAACTTAAGATTACCTAAATGACCGTTTATAGCGCTGTTCATATGCTCTAATCTAGTGATTCTTAATTAGGGTTTTACCTTAGAATTATTTGGAGGCTTTAAAACTATGGCCAGGACCTAGTGATAGAGTTCCTGTGAGGGAGATCCAGACATGTGTATTTTGGAAATAGCCTGTATGTGATGTTGATTTATGTACTCAATGAAGAGCACTGTCTAAATCCCAAAATTGCAGGAGTTCTGCTTTAAAGGGAATAGTTACTGAAACTGTAGGACCAAGTTATTCATCTGGACTCCAATAATGGCTAAAAACTCAGCATGTTAAGTGAAAGAAAATAAGGGAAGGAAAATCCCAGTCTTCTATTGTAACAAGCTGAGATAACTAAAATAGTAAAGTATTAATAATGCGGTTCAATAATCAATTCCTGAAACAGATAAAAATTTCAGAGAGAAGCTAAGTGTTATACATACCTGTCTAGACCCTTGGGGTCCTACAGCCCCCAGGTTAATTGGCCCAGGACCTTGGATTCCACCAGGCATAGGGCCTCTAGGACCAGCGACTGGGCCCCTTGTATCCAAGCCTCTGGCTTCCAAGCCTCTGACTTCCATTATGCGGGCCTCCATTGCTCGGGCTTCTAAGCCTCTTGCCTCCATGGCTCGTGCTTCCATACCTCGGGGATCTCTTCCACCTACAGTTGCAGGAAAACTAAGTAAAAGCAGTCAATCTCTGGCTACTACTTTTACTATAAGAACCAACAATCAAAGAAAAATAGAAATCTACTCCTCTAGACACTCCTTCCAATTATGAAACTGCTTTCTTCTGTTTTTCATATTCTATTTCTTTAAAAATGGTACCCAGATACAGGCAGGTGAAAAGGACTACATTTATGACCATATATGTTTGGTTGTTTTTTGGCTTGGTTTTTTTCTTTTTAAAAGAAACAGAAACAAAAAAACCCCAAACCCCAAAAACTGCTTGACAATCCAGTATTCTTTGTCCTTGATTAGCATCTAAGACAGTCAGGGTCATCCCTAGCCCACAACTATGAGTCAGTCTTGGGAATACGATTCTTCTTACCTCTGCCATCTAGGGGTGAACACCTCTGATCCATCATAGGTCCTCTTGGCTCTGCCATTAAAGGTCTGGGCTCTGTTAATGGCCCTCCTCTCATTTCATGTGGGGGTGGGCCCCGGTTATCATGGCCAGGGACATGGTGCATGGATGGACCTTGATGAGGGGGTCCCATATAACCTCTAGAGAAAGAGCAAAATATTACCTTTCAAAACAGTACAATGCATTTGGCCTTTTTCAGTGTGATGGTAAATAATGCTGCAATAGCCCAAATGTCCAACTAAAACCAAGTGGACTGAGAAACTGTGGTACATTCACATGATGGAATACTACATAGCACTCAGGAACCATAATTTTTAAAAATATTGCATATCTTGTTGGAAGAGATTGGAGAGCATTATGCTGAGTGAACTAATTCAGTTTCAAAAGGACAAATACTGTGTAAGATCATTATTGTAAAAATAGAAGGAAAACTAGTAAAATGGGGTCCAGTGGGGGAAGGAGCGGGAGCAAAGGGGTGAGGATGGGCATGGAAGAAATCACAGGGTTGCACAATTTGGTGGGTGATGGGAGGGGGTAAATGCAATAGGAAAGATCTTGCCACAATGTGTAAAAATGGAACGGTGAATGGTGATTGATTTTATAAAACACAATGTGTGGGAATGATTGTATGAAATATAATGTCAAAGAAGCAAAGGGTGAAACACAATGTATACTAATTTTTAAAATCTCAAATTGAACAATAAAAAGGCAGAGAGTAAATGAGGAGGTGGTAAGTAGAACCAAAGAACTGATGCAAACATCATTGTACTAATGTTAACAAGATAATAAAGCCAAATAGGATAAAAAACGGATGAACATACATAAATTCATGTCTTCTATACTTTCTTATTTGGTTGATGCACTCATAATTAGGGAAGAATTAATGGATATCCATTATATATATATATATATATATATATATATATATATATATATATATATATATATAGAACAAGGCAATATAGTACAGTGATAAAGAACATAGGTTTTGGATTCAGACTGTTTGGGGTTCAAATCTAGACTCTATCACTTCTGTTTCAGTTTCCTCATCTGTAAAATAGAATGAGATGATCTAAGTAGGTAGAGTCAGAGGCACATATACACTACATTAACATCAATTAGGGAGCTCTGGTGGCTAGTGGGTAAGGTGTTGCACTGTTAACCCAAAGGCACACAGTTTGAATTCATCAGCTACTCTACAGGAAAGATGGACAATCTTCTCCCATGAGATTTACAACCTCTGAAAACCGGCTTAAAGTCAGCTATGAGTGCTCTGACTTGATGGCACATAGGATTTTTTGAATGCTAATTATTATGGCTATTAATATTACTAAGATGACATGGTATCTTATGCGTTGAACTGCTAACCAAAAGGTTAATGGTTCAAATCCAATGACTACTTCACAGGAGAAAGATGTGAAGTCTCCTCTGGTAAATACTTGTTAGACTTGGAAACCTGATGGAGGGTCACCATGAGATGGTATCATCAACTTGATGGTAGTGGTGGTGTTAATGTTACTACTATCATTAAACTAAACAAGTTCTCCCTGTTCTGGCATCTACATTGCTAGAATTTCTGATTTCTAAAGATATACAAGTCAGTGTTAGCTCAAAAGAACATATTCAATTCTTCTAGGAGAAGAGCTTAATCTTGGATGTTGCTACTGTTATTGCAGTAGAGTCAGAAGTGATCCATGGCTGACTCTTCAGCCAGTTTTTAGAGGCAGTAATTGCATAGGAGGAGATTGCCCATCCTTCTTCCACAGAGTAGCTGGTAGATTCGAATTGCATCTTTGGGATTGCAGCACAGATTCTTACCACTATAGGTGAACATGTACAACTTGTATTACAAGTCTTTATTCTGAAAGCCAAAGCCAAACCTATTGCTATCTATCCTCCATCAGGCATCTTTCTTCTGTCATGAGGCTGGTGGGTGTGAACTTCCAACCTTGTGGTCAGCAGTATAACCAGAAAGGCACTATGTCATTAGGTATCCTTTATTCTCAATGTAAGAGAAAATTACAGTTTCTCCAACCTGTTTCTTCTATGGGTGCTCACCTAGGCTCAACCTCTCCAGTTACAGTAAGTAAAGTGCCTCCACGTGGATCATTTGGAGCATCTCCTAACAGACCTCGAGGAGTAGAAACATTGGCAGGCAAGGGTCCACGCTGCATAGCTGCTCTGGGGTCTTGTATTGGCACTGACAGAGAAACAAACAGGGAGTTACTGATGCGAAGGACACATGAGGAAACAAGAAATAACTCTATATACCACTGACAACATAATGTAGACACCTTTGAGTGGGTGAAACCTCACCACAATAGAATTCTCTTGCAGCTCAAAAACAGAAGCAGTGTGTGGGCAGACTCTGTATCATGCTATGGATGGAATTACATAAAGAACAACTGCAATGGAACCTGCCCAAGACTAATATCGCAACCAAAAAGACTTGTGTTCTTGGTTTTCCTTATAATCAATCTTAGTTCAAGAGGCAAAGTCACAAAAGAGGTAGGGTCTTGTCATATGTGAACACTGCCACGCCTCTGCAAACACCTGCTGTCTCCCTACAGACTGCTTTCATCAAAGCCTCCTGACACAAGTAGTGAGGAAGTATAGCCTTGGACAGATGCCCATATCATCCATATTTTCTTTTTCTGTCTTGTGTGAAGAGGTCAATCTTAAGAGTTTGTGGCCCCAACGGGGAAAGGGGGGAACCCCCAAAACAAAAAAACAAACAAACCCAAAACACTATCCATTGGGTTCTGAATGTGCCTATTTCCTCTCAACATCCCACCCACAGATACAATGGGTACCTTGAACTCGCTCAATTGATGCAGGCCCGGTGGGTCCCACTGGCGAGTGCTGTAAGGTTCCTAGGTAAGCAGTAAGTTCAAAAGGAGAAACAGAAGGCACTTAAAACAGCTTGCACACGTACAGAGAGAATGGAGATTTGCACACTGAAGTTAAAAAGTCAAAAGTTCATTAGTTTGCCCAAGGCTATAAAAACTTTCTAAACTATATTAGTGCTTTCAGAAGACCTCTGAAACATAATTTCACTTTGACAAGATGGTTTCCCAAGGTAAAACCGGTGGACCGACGATTTATTTGCATAAAAACATCTGCCATTTTCAATGTTCACCTCTGTTAATTGTTTCCCCCCAAATCTCCTTATGATGTAATTTTTTAAAAAAGCAAATAAAGGTGTGCTTTTGAATCTTTAATTAGGTAAACAATGTGAACATATTTTCACAAGGAAAATACAAAACATGGAAATAAGTGCATTGAATTTGAAAGGCAAGATTCATTCTGGAGAGACCAAAACAGTAGTCAATCAGTACTATTGTTGACATATATTAAAGCACAAAAATTTCTGTGATCAAAGAAATATCAAACAGGAAAATTCAGTGAATGAACTTTTGATAAGGAAAGACTATCACTCTATATGAAATACTTTGCCAAAGGTCTTTGATAATAAACATTACGACCACAGTTAAGACTAGTGAGAGGATAACAGCAAACACAGGTGGTAGAGAACAAGAAAAACAAAAGTTCCACTGCTTTCTTTCATCATTTCAAATGTACAAAAGAAGCACTCTTGCTGTTAGTTGCCAAAGAGTGGTTCTGACTCATAGTGACCCATAAATTCCAGAAGTAAGACAAACCGAATACAAATGAAAACAATCTTGCTTGCTCTGCTGGGTACTTAAAAAACAACATCTTTTTGTCTCTATTAAGAATGAATGCATCCTTAATATACCTTCAAAGTATGAGTTATTTATATTTGTTATTTTTTTTTACCAGAAAGGTGAAAGTATCTATAAGCAGAAAGATGCCTTGTGGACATATTAAAGAGCTAAGGTTGCTATAAGATTGATGGCCTGAGGAAGAAAAGAAAGTATGACTGAAACCCCAATCTCTTTTTACCAGGGCAGAAACACTTTGTGCATACATAAACTATCTTTTGATAATGTCTTTGGGGTTGGGTGGGGTGGGGTGCAAGTGCACAATACCATGGCTGATTGAAGAAAAGATAAGGTATCTGGCCAGGAACTTGTAATGTTGTCAGTCATAATTTATAGAAAAGATTAAAGTTCTGTCATTTCAACTACTAACCCCAATGAGCATGTCATAGAGAAAGGGCACAATATGTAAGCTTACATATTAGTACTTTGTGTTGTTAAATCACATTTTTATTTATAGGCTATATGTTAAGAAACAGCACTGAGGTTTGCTATTGCTTGTTCAGTGTAGTTTTTTCTAATCATAGAGACAATGAGTAACAGTGGAAAGCACTGAAGAGTATTTTTAGAAGTTACAACAGTGAGGAATCCACTCACTGGATGGAAGAGAAGATCAAATCTAGTCCATATTAATCATATACTCATATTCATTTACCTGTCTCCTTGACTAAGTAATTTAAAACTCTGAGTGTTCATCACTTTACCTTTAAAACTGAGATGCTGCCACCTACTTCACAAAGTTATTTATGAAGACTTAAGTGTCTGGCAAATAGCACACATTGAAGTTTATTTGTTTATTCTTGCCCTCTTGCCTCCTAATATTGTTTTAAACTGAGTAATTGCATTTTCTTTCTTTTTTTAAATTGTGATTTGAGTGAAAGTTTACAAAGAAAACTAGTTTTTCATTAAAAAAATCATATTGATTATAATATGTAGCACACTGCCCACTCCTCATGTCTCCTATTTCTATCCATTTATTTTTTTTCTTTACTGTGCTTTATTTCCTTCATCACCATAGGCACTTGCTCATATGTTATTTCATGAAATTCTTCTGTGTCAGCCAATTCCTTCTGATACAGTGACTCTGTGTACTCCTTCCATCTTCTACCCAAAGTATTCTTAAGTATTGCCACCCGTGGCTTGAATTTGTTTTTCAACTCCTTCAGCATAAGAAACGCTGAGCGAGTTCTTTTGATTTTCTGACTCCAGGTCTCTGCACATTTCATTGTAGTATCTTGCTTTGTCGTTCCGGGCTGCCTTTTGAAATTTTCTGTTCAGCTCTTTGATTTCTTCCTTTAGCTTTGGCTTCTCGGTGCTCTACTCCAATACTCAGAGTCTCATCTGACATGCACCTTGGTCTTTTCTTCTTTTTCAGTCTTTGTAATGACTGTTTGCATTCTTCATGGATGATTTTCTTGATCCTTCCAGAGCTCATTTGGTCTATGCTCAAGGCCTCAGACCTGTTCCTGAGATGGTTTTGAAATTCGAGTGGGACAGACTTAAGGTCTAATTTTGGTTCCTGTGGACTTGATTTAATTTTCCTCAACTTTAGCTTGAACTTACATGAGTACCTGGTGGTCTATCCCACAATCAGCACCCCAGAACATTTGATTGTGCTGATGCAAAACCTATACTTGGACCAGGAGGCAGTCAGAACAGACAGAGAAAGGAGATACTACATGGTTCCATCAGGGATGTATTTTGTCTCCATACCTTTTCAATCTGTATGCAGAACAGATCTGAGATGCTGGGCTGTATGAGGAGGAATGTGGCATCAGGATTGGTGGAAGAGTCGTCAACAACCTGCATTATGCAGATGACACAACCCTGCTTGCTGAAACTGAGGAGGACCTGAAGCGCTTGCTGCAGAAGGTCAAGGACTGCAGTCTTCAATATGAATTGAAGCTCAACATCAAGGAAACAAAAATTCTCACCTTTGGGCTAGTTGGCAGCATCAGTATGGATGTTGAAGAGATTGAGATAGTTAACAGTTTTAGTTTACTTGGTTCCAGTCAACACTCTTGGTAACAGCAGCAAAGAAATCAAGAGACAAATTGCATTGGGAAAGTCGGCTGTGACAGACCTCTCAAGAGTACTAAACAGCAATGATGTCAGGCTGGAGAGTAAGGTGCACATGATCCGGGCTATAGTCTTTGCAATTATGTGCTATGCATCGGAGAGTTGGACAGTGAATAAGGAAGATAGAAAACTGATGCCTTTGAGCTGTGGTTCTGGAGAAGAGTGTTGAATATACCATGGACTGCTAGGAGAACAAACAGGTTTGTCCTGGAGAAGGTGAAGCCAGAATGCTCCTTGGAGTCAAGGATTCTGAAACTTCGTCTGACATACTTTCGACATGTTGCAAGGAGGGACTGGTCCTTGGAGAGGGTCATCATGTTTGGCAGATTGGAGGGGCGGTGAAGGCGAGGAAGACCTTCCATGAGATGGATCGATTCTGTGAGTGGAGTGGTAGGAATGAATGTGTTTGAGACGGCGAGGTTGGCACAGGATAGAATGGCGTTTAGGGCTCTTGTACACAGGATCGCTATGAGTCACAAGTGACTTGATGGCACATAACAACAACAACAACATCCCTTATTGCTATCTGAGTTTTAACCTTTGATGAGTGGCATCCTTTTGCATTTTATTTTCCTTAAAAAAAATTCAGGGGAGCTCTGGGGGCCTAGTTGCAAGAAGGTGCACTGCAGTCCAAGAGGCTCACAGTTCAAATCCACCAGATGCTCTGCTGAAGAAGGAGGGGCAATCTCCTCCTCTACCAGTCAGATCCGATTTGACGGTACACACAAAAAAGTAATAATAAAATTAAAACACTAAAAAAATTTCGACTGCTGATGTCACTACATATATTGTTACTATTACAACAGACACTAATTAATCAAGTAGTCTTCATAGACCTATGGCACCCTAACAAGTTTTCTCTATGGTTTAAATCTAACCTTCCTATATATCCTGTCACATATTCATTACTGAAATTCCTTAATCAACCTTTATGTTCAGAGAGAGAGAGAATTATTAGACTTTCAGGTAAAGGTATAAATTAAATAGAAAGGGTCCATTGGTCAATTCTTAGAGCTGGACTGGGAATTACCGGTATAGTGATGTGGAAAGCACAGATCATTACTACTGAATAGAACTTTCTCTGACGATGGAAATATATCTGCACTTTCTAGTATGGTATTCACTAGTCTCATGGGGCTGTTGAGTATTTATTTAGAATGGCTAGTCAACACTCTTGGCAAAGGCAGTCAGGAAATTAAAAAGCGTATCGCGATGGGAAAGTCTGCTGTTAGGGACCTCTCTAAAGTACTCAGGAGCAACGGTGTATCTCTGGAGACTAAGGTGCACCTGATACAGGCCATGGTATTTGCAATCGCTTGTTATGCATCAGAGAGTTGGACAATGACTAGGGAGGACAGAAGGAGTGGATGCTTTTGAGTTGTGGTGCTGGAGAAGAGTACTGAATGTACCATGGACTGCCAGGAAAACAAACAGATTCATCTTGGAGAGGATTAAACCAAGCTACTCTTGGAGGCAAGGATTCTGGGGCTTCGTCTGACATACTTTGGACATGTCAGGAGGGACGGGTCCTTGGAGAGGGACATCATGCTTGGGAGGGTGGAGGGACAGCACAGGAGGGGAAGACCCTCTATGAGATGGATTGATTCGGTGACTGGGGTAATCGGGATGGGTGTGTCAGAGGCAGTGCGGTTGGCGCAGGATAGAGCAGGGTTTAGGGCTGTTGTGCATAGGGTCGCTATGAGTCACAAACGACTCAACGGCACAACAACAACAACAGTGTCAGTGTGGAACTAAATTTAAATTTTAATATTTAAATAGTCACATGTCCAGTGGCTTCAATATTCAACAGTAAAGAAAAAACAAGAGTATCAAATTCAGTCCATGCTAATCAGACATTAGTTTTTATCTACCTTGCCCCCGCTCTAAGGACACTGGTCCACTTCCTGGCATTCCAACCTGGGCCTGCATTCCCCCTAGAAGATAAATGGCAGAACAAACAAAAGTACAGATTAGAATACTAGAAGAGTTTATATTTCTTTTTCTGCCCATAAGCAAAACCTGTAAAGAAAGATCCTACTACTAAACAGTGTTAGTTTCACAGAAGATGAAATTTTTCAGTATACTTTATATTATTTTTTGAGTGGTACAAATGGTTAATATGCTTGGCTGCTAACCAAAAAGCAGAAAGTTTGGGTTCACCCACAGGCATCTTAGAAGAAAGGTCTGGTGATCTACTTCTGACATAATAGTTCTAACACAGAGTGTCACTATGAGTTAAGAGTAGACTTGATGGCAACTGCGCGGTTCGGTTGTGGGGTTTGGGTTTTTTTTTCATCCTTTATGCTTAAGTGTACAAAAATTAAATAAGAATATTCAATCTTACTGGCCTCTCAAACCTTGGCGGGAAGCTCTGTAATAGAGGAAAACAATGTTACTTATCCAGTGGATTCTTATGGGGGGGTAATACTGTTCTCATTTTGTAAATGTATGAATATATACATACATACATACATACATACATACATACATACATGTTTTAACTGTGACAGCATGCCTGGAATTTACTGAGAAGGACCAGGAATACTGAAAATATTTAAAAACACAAGTAAAAACAAACCGATAGTCCACCAAGTAAAATCTGAAACATAGCAACCCAGTAAGACAGGGCAGAAATGGTCCCTAGAGTTTCCAAGGCTGTAATTTTTATGGAAGCAAACTGCTACATTGTTCTCCCAAAGAATGGCTGGTGGATTTAAACCACTGACCTTTCTGTTAGCAGCTAAGAACTTAGCCACTGCACCACCAAGGCTCCTTTTGGTGGACTCTAGATATCCTGTAATGCATGAGGCAGTTTCACAAAATTAACAATTACCCTGTCTTGTACAACTTTCAAATGTCTCACAAAACATTCACGTAAGTGCAACTCTGTTTATAGTTATCTGAACTTACATGCCTTGTTTCTTTGAACTGAATTTCTGAGAAGTATAATTACTGAGAGCTTAAGGATACTAATTTTCTGTTAAGAACTATGCTAAGAACTTTCAATCAGTAAAAACATGTCACCAATGTCAGTAGCACTTGTGGTATATACTTAGTTAACAAATCATATTTGTATACATTTTTTGCTTTTGAATTCGTGACAGTGCTATGTATAGGTGCAAATATCTAACTAACCCATTATTTTCTACTGTAATTGTGCCCATACATTTGCATATTTAAAAATATTTTTTTATAATTTACTTCTCCTTCAAATTAATTAGGTGATCCCACTAAGTTTTATTAAAATCACATTAATTGGGTTATATCATATCTGAAGTTCATTTCAGGATGGTGAGGAGTTCTGATGATACAGCCCCTGCTGAGTTGCACATTAAACTCAAAGGCCTTGAGTCTGTGGTAGTTTGAATCCACCAGCCTCAGAAACCCAATGAAGGGCTGCCAGGAATGGAAATTAACTTGGTAGTACAGAGTTAAGAGTTTTAGTTGAAAGACCCCTTATAAAATATCTGTCATGAAAAGAGATACTGGAAATAAGAGGACTGATAATCATTGGTTTACTTCAATGAACTGGGGAATAAATTGTTTGCATATAAAAAATAATCATAATATACCACAAGTTCTTGTCTGGTCTTTTTGACACTGCAATTATTTTCTTTCCCTGAAAGCAGCAATATTAGCTGTGAGTGAGGAAAAAAGACAGGTCAAAGTGTTTGCTATTCTTTAGTACTTCCATTAAGAAACAGCAAGCACATTTTACATTCGTGTATTCCACTTAAACATGCCAAGCACCAAAAACCTATGGATTAAGAACCTGAAGAACTAGGAGCTAGTTCTTTCTGTTTTGACGTGATTTCATAAAATGAGTATTTTCTTGGGCCCCTTCATCTGTAAAATGAGTTGTTTAAATCAATGGTTCTCTGATATAAAGTCTCTGACCATCATTATCATCTAGGAATTTGTAGAAACTGAAATTTTTCAGGCCCATGCCAGACGTACCAAATTAGAAACTCAGGGATGGAAGAGATCAGGATTCCATAGTTTAAGATTCCTTCAGAAGAGTGTGGTACACATTAAAGTTAGAGAGCCACTGGTCTAAATTAATTATTTCAAAGTTCTCTTATAGCAATAATGTTCTTTAATTCATCTAGACCACTTACAAACACCACAGACATAGACATTTTTCCTGAGGAAAGAAGTGGTAAAAATAATTATGGGCATGAGTGCTTATGATACACATTCCTTAACCTTATTTGTAATGGCTAGTTTCCGAAGTTAAATTAATGGGTCAAAGGGTATATGAATTTTAAAAAATTATTCTGAAACTACTTTCTAGAAAGCCTGAAAAATTTCATATTCCACCAGCAATGTAGGAGTACCATTTTCCCATCAATGGGAAAATTTATTAAAAAAAAACAAAAACAACAAAAAAAAACAACCCAAAACCTTCTGCTTATCTAGCAGGTGTGAGTCAAGGGATATGTCATTGCTATTATATTGGCAATGACTGAAAATGACTTTATACGTTGGCCATTTGGATTTGCTAAGAAGGATCTAACTTCTTTGTCTACTAGGTGGTTTTCTTATTAATTTTCCAAGTTCTGTAAAGAGTACCTCAAAAGTCCATGTGGAGTTTTAAAATAATCTGAGAGGTATAAATGATGCAAGCTTGCAAAAAGCATTATCTGAAGTTTAATAGTTTACCTTCATTTACATTTATTTTCAACGTTTATCTTTATTATATCCTTTTCTTAGTTCCTTCTGGTTGTTATTATTTTTCCAATTTCTCAAAACTAACTGAGAATTCTTTTATTCCTTAATATTGCAAGCTGTAAGGATATTAATTTTCCTTCAAGTATAGCCTTTATTATAGCATATTCTTTGTTTGAAATATACTTTTTAAGTTCTTTTATATACTTTATACTTTTTTCTCTTTAATCCAAGGATCACCTAATGCTTATTTTTCAGTCATATTTTTTATTGATTATTTATACTTTTCAGCTTACAATTACAGAACGCGGACTATACAATTTCCAATTCTACTTACTTGATAAGATTTTATTTTACTCTATGGTCCATGCTCATTCCAGGAGAAAATGTACAAAGGGCAGCTCAAGAAGACAAAGCAAAGTATTATAACGGAATGTGCAGAGACCTAGAATTGGAGAATAAAAGGGAAGAACTTGCTTAGCATTTCTCAAGCTGAAAGAACTGAAAAACAAATTCAAGCCTAGAGTTTCAATTCTTACTTAGGGATTCTATGGGTAAAATCTTGAATGATCCAGGAAAGAGCAAAAGATGGAGAGAATATACAGAGTCACTGTACCAAAAAGGACTGGTCGGCACTGAAATATTTCAGGAAGTATCATATAATGAAGAATCAATCAAAGAAGAAATTTAATTGGACTGAAGGTACTGGCATAAAATAAGGCCCCAGGAATCAATGGCATACCAAGTGACATGTTTCAAAATGACACATGCAGCCCTGGACGTGCTCACCAATCTATGCCAAGAAATTTGGAGGACAGCTACCTTGGCTGACTGACTGGAAGAAATCCCTATTTGTTCCCATCCCCAAGAAGGTGATTCAATAGAATGTGGAAATTATGGAACAGTATCAGTAATAACCTTGCTTGCTGAAACTGAGGAGGACCTGAAACGCTTGCTGCACAAGGTCAAGGACTACAGCCTTCAATATTGATTGAAGCTCAATATCAAGAAAACCGATTCTGATCACTGGGCCAACTGGTAGCATCATGATAGATGATGACGAGATTGAGATTGTTAATAGCTTTAGTTTGCTTGACTCCACAGTCAACACTCTTGGCATCAGAAGCCAGGAAATCAAAAGACAAATTTCACTAGGAAAGTCTGTTGTCAGAGACCTCTCCAGAATACTGAAGAACGACAACGTCAGTCTGGAGACTAAGGTGCAGTTGATCCAGGCTATGATCTTTGCAATTACTTGCTAGGCATCAGAAAACTGGACAGAAACTAGTGATGACAGAAGGAGAATTGATGCCTTTGAGCCGTGGTGCTGAAGAAGAGTATTGAATATACCAAGGACTGCTAGGAGAACAAACAGGTTCATCCTGGAGAGACTGAAACCAGGTTGCTCTTTGGAGACAAGAATTCTGAAGCTATGTCTGACACACTTTGGTCATGTTATAAGGAGGGACCAGTCCTTGGAGAAAGACATCAAGCTTTGGAGGGAGGAAGGACAGCATAAGAGACAAAGACCTTCAATAAGACGGATTGACTCACTGACTGGAGCAATAGGAGTAGGTGTGTTAGAAATAATAAGGTTGGCTCAGGATAGAGCAGGGGTCAGAACTGCTGTACATAGGGCTGCTATACAGAACTCAGTGGTACATAAAATCAACAGCAACATCATTAATATCACATACAAACAAAATACTGTTGAAGATTATTAAAAACTGGCTATAAGAGTACACTGACAGGGAACTGTCAGAAGAGCAAGCTGGATTTAGAAGAGGCCATATCACCAGGTATATTACTACCAATGTCATATGGATCCTGACTGAAAACAAAGAATACCAGAAGAAAGTCTATTTGTACTTTATTGACTTTGCAAAGGCATTCAACTATGAATCATAACAAATTATGGCTAACATTTAAAAAAACGGGAATTTCAGAACACTTAATTGTGCTAATGTGAAACTTTTGTCTAGACCAAGAGGCTGTTATGCAAGAAGAGCACCAGAACACTACATGGTTTACAAATAAGAAAGGTGTGCATCAGGGTTGTATCCTCTCTCCATACCTACTAAATCTGTACACTGAGTAAATTATTCAAGAAGCTGGACTCTATGAAGGAGAATGTGGCATCAGGATTGGAGGAAAACTCATCAATAACCTATGTTAGAGATGACACATCTTTGCTTGCTGAAAGTGAGGAGGACTTGAAACGCTTGCTGCTAAAGATCAACGACTACAGCCTTCAATATGGATTGCA